GAAACTTTTGCATGGATTTTGATTTATTTATTTTTTTTTGACCTGCAGTGCTGGTCTTCTGAATGCCTTCTAAAATGTGTTGCAACAAATGATAGACTCAACCCTAGTTAACTTCTCCAATCTTGAAGAAAGATTGATAGTGGCTATTGTTGTTTTTAAAAGTTAGCTTCATTTAACTGTTGTACAGTATTTACAATTTTAACTTGCTGTGACCTGCCCACTGGCTTCCTTTCAATTGGGCATGCTACAAAAATTAGCAAACACATTGGCTTTTACATGGGAATTGTATTTTTTGGGCTAGTCATTCTCCAACCTCAGATACAATTTTTTTTTTATGTCCCCCTAGACTGCCAAAAAATTGGCAGCATGCTTTTCTCTGTTTTGGGAAAGAAACACATCTGTAATTTACATCTTAAAATAAGCTTCACGTCGTTTTAACAAGCAAAGAAGTGGGGAGAGAATAGCCTCTAAAAAAAAACACCACCTGCGCATATGCAGAAAAAGAAAAGTGCATTTTGGTTGAAGCCGCATGCAGCTCTTCCCATTTTGCAGAACTGCCTTACTCCCCAGGCCTCTCCAAAGATATTAAGTTCTGTAGGTAGATATTTGAGTGTGCTGTGTTGTATATTGCAGAATAAACTGACATGAGAGATAATTGCTGTCATTAAAACCTAGAAAAGAATTCAAAGCATCTTTTTTTAAAAAATCCAGAATTGTCTATGCTTGAACATGGAAGTGTTTATTTTTTTAGATTGTCTATGTTTATGTCTCTCTAAGCTGCCCAGAACCATAACCATAACCATATACAATTATACAATAAATACTTATCCTCTTTCTCTCTCTCTCTTCCTCCCTCCCTCTCTCTCTTTTCCTCCCTCCTTTCTCTCTCTCTCTCTCTCTTCCTCCCCTCCCTCTCTCTCTTTTTCTCCCTCTCTCCTCTCTCGCTCTTCCTCCCTCCCTCCCCTCCCTCTTTTTCTCCCTCCCTCTCTCTTCCTCCCTCCCTCCCTCCCTCCCTCTCTCTTTTTCTCCCTCCCTCTCTCTCTTCCTCCCTCCTCTCTCTCTCTCTCTCTCTGCTTCCCTCCCTCCATAATTACCAGTAATTCTGGAAGGCAAAGGTGCAATACACATTATGTTGGGAATGGCCATGATAAGATCATTGACCTGTGCATATTTGACATCTCTTTTATAAAGTTGCAACCCAGCAAATTCCATCTTTAGATGAATAGAGAGCTGGGGAGCATCCTTTAAATCTTTGGTTCTTAACCCGCTTGGGATACCTGAGAGGACTTGTATTTTTTTTTAATGATCTTTTCTAGAAGGAATATGAATAGATCTGCCCTGCTCATGTGTATTTATTGACTTAGATCTGTGATGGGAACAAGGTAAAGGTTCCCCTGGCACCTATGTGCTAGTCGTTCCCGCCTCTAGGGGGTGGTGCTCATCTCCGTTTCAAAGCCGAAGAGCCAGCGCTGTCCGAAGACGTCTCCGTGGTCATGTGGCCAGCATGACTAAATACCAAAGGTGCACAGAGCACTGTTACCTTCCCACCAAAGGTGGTCCCTATTTTTCTACTTGCATTTTTTAACATGCTTTCGAACTGCTAGGTTGGCAGAAGCTGGGACAAGTAATGGGAGCTCACCCCGTTACGGGGCACTAGGGATTCAAACTACTGAACTGCCGACCTTTCGATCGACAAGCTCAGCATCTTAGCCACTGAGCTACTTAAACTCATCTAATGGGGGGGTACCAGTCCAAACAACCGCAGCCCTGTTCACCTCAAAGGGCTGAGACACAGAGCTGTCTCTTCCCCCACTTCGACCGATTCATTAAAAACAGGAGAAACACATATTATGGACTGGAAAGCATCACCCAATCAATGGAGTATCTCTTGCACAACACATCCCTGCTCCGATTGAAGTGCAAATAGACTGAAGCCCATTTTTTTTACGTGGGATGCTTAAATAAGACTCTTCGACTCTGCTTGTAAGGACAAGAAATATAGAATACAAATTCAAAAGGAAGCGCTACCTATCATTCCTAGCAATTTTCTCCGCCCCCCTCCCCAGATCTTACTAAACTGGATCGCCCAGCTGATCTATTGGTCAGGCTGGATTCCTGGGAGATGCAGTTCAGCAGCGGACAAAAGAAAATGGCTTCCCACCGCTGCTCTGGAGGTGTGGCCAGATATAATATCATGTCTCAAGATGGCGGACGATGCCAAACTGCAAAACCAGGTGTCTCTCCACACCAGGGCTTGTTTTCAATAGCCAGGATTGAAGCTTAAGAGGAAATGCTGCAAATATGTACATGACCTGATTTAGGACAGAAACAAAGCCTTTCTGTGCTTGTTATCACAGTACCAACATAGCATGTTCAGAAACCCTCGGACAGGTCTGATACACATCAGTAGATCATTACCTTCTGCCTCCAGTTCGCCAACTCTGATAAAGAGTTTGTAAGGTTTTGTGCAAAAGAGCCTTGGCACCATCTATGGAGATTCTCACAGTCATCCTGGTCATGGTTGTCTCAAAGGGGGCAACCAAGAATTTTCTTCAATTCAGTGAACCGAAGAAGCTTCTTGGATGAAAAGCGAAAAGTCTTCAAGGAAAACTTGAAGGAGCCTGGATAGCTCAACAGACAGAGCACTGTAATTTAACACCAGCTGTCTGCAATTAAAGTAAGATCGAATCTCGCCAGGCTCAAGGTTGACTCAGCCTTCCATCCTTTCTAAGGTAGGTAAATTGAGGACCCAGTTTGTGGGGGCAATAAGCTGACTTTGTATAAATATACAAAAGTATGATGGCTATTGCTTAACGCATTGTAAGCCGCCCTGAGTCTCCGGAGAAGGACGGCATATAAATCGAACTAATAAATAAATAAATAAAATAAGTCCCCCCCCACACACACACACACAAAAATTGTGGCACTCTCTCAAATCCTGGAATATTGCTATCATGTCCCTCCTAGTCTTTCTTTTCTCTAGACTAGCCAACCCCAAATTCTGCCACTGTTCTTCATATGTTAGTTGCGTTAGTTCGTTATAAACCAGAGTGCAAAGCAGGATCTCTTCACACAGACAAGATAAATCCACAATGAAAGGATTATGAAGTCGCAAGTGTTTAAAACGTACCAGTAGAAATCTCTAGCGAAGCTCAGGCTAAGGTTAACTTGCCCTGTTTGAGGGTAGCCAGCTATTTTCAAAATGTTTACTCAAACGAAAAAGCCTCAGCATCCAGGCTGATTGAGCCAAGCAGCCCTTCTCCGGCCCTGTCTCCAGCCTTTGCAATTTAAAATCTGTACATCTCTAGATGACATTTCTCCGCAGTCCTATTAACAACCCGTAAAGGCAAATAAACATCAGCGGGATCAAAGAGGGCGTCACGCTTAAACAACCCACCAGGAGAAGCAGACAGATGCACGGAGTGAAACAGCCATTCAGCCACCACTCAATGGAGAACCCCATTCAACCAAGCCCACTGCACTGATGGTGCAGTGGACTAAACTACTGTTAAAGTAGTATTTAGCTGCCAGCTGCCTGCAATTACTGCAAGTTCAAATCTCACCAGGCTCAAGGTTGACTCAGCCTTCCATCCTTCCAAGGTAGGTAAAATGAGGACCCAGATTGTGGGGGCAATAAGCTGACTTTGTATAAAAAAGAACACCGCTTGGGGGGGGGACCAAAAAGCCCTACTAAGCAGATATATACAAAAGTATGAAGGCTATTGCTTAACGCATTGTAAGCCGCCCTGAGTCTCCGGAGAAGGGTGGCATATAAATCGAACCAATAAATAATAAATAAATAAATTATCCGGATCTAGGGATGACTTAAGAGCAGATCTGCACAGCGATCACCAGGATCGCCGAGAGAGCAGGGTTTTCTTTTGTTTTTGCATTATTTACCCTACAGCCTGGTGGGAAAAAATAAACAATAAACAGCATCCCACATTAAATTCGTGTAGAGCAAAAAAAAATAAATGACGTCACCGCCTTGCCTGCGTTGCAAACCACAAAAAAAAAAGAAGAAGAAGAAGTGTGTGTGTGTGGAGGGGGAGAAAGCTTAGGCGCTCTGTCTCCAACCTGGCACCCTCCCGAGGGGCCCTTCACCCCAAAAAATCAATGAGGGGTGGGCAGTGGGTAGGATGTGGTCCAGAGCATCTGGAGGGCGTCAGGCTGGGGCTGGGGCTGTAGGGGTAGAAGAGAGCAGGGCTCCCTTGTCCATGGCCATCTAGGGATGAGATTTCCACGGGGCTGATGTGCGAGGAAGCGCGCCCAGACAGACAGCAGGAGGAGGAGGAGGGAGGGAGAGTCCTCGCCGACAGAGAGAGAGAAGGAGAGAGGGCAGCTTGGAGAAGGGATGCGGCGGAGCTGGAGCTGCACCCCGGATGGATGGATGGAGGGATGGCGGGATGGCGGGAGGGATGGAGGGATAGAGGGAGGGATGGAAACCTTGTTGTTCCACCAGGCTGGGCTATCAAGGTAAAGATATTAATTGGGTTTTTAAAAATGGGATTTTAAATTTGGGGTTTGAAATTGAGCCTATCATTTTAATCATTTTCATTATTTTTAAATTTTGTCTGTCTTTGTGCTTTTAATCAGGCTGTACACCGCCCTGAGTCCTTCGGGAGAAGGGCAGTATAGAAATAAAATAAAATAAAATAAAATAAAATAAAATAAAATAAAATAAAATAAAATAAAATAAAATAAAATAAAATAAAATAAATAAATGGAGGGATGGAGGGATGGAGGGATGGAGGGAGGGATGGAGGGATAGAGGGATGGATGGAAGGATGGAGGGATAGATGGAGCGGAGCGCGTGGCTGCAGCGACACCGGTGGGAAAACCAGAAGGAGGCTGACTGCAAGACCGGTGCGCCCCCCCCTCCCCAACACACACACACACACACCCGGTCGTGGGACCCAACCGTCCCCAGCCCCCATCGCCTTCTCCTAGGGCTGCCCAGCTTGCTTGCATGCATGCTCGCTCGCGCGCTCGCCGCTTACCCCGCTCGCCTTCTACCCTCTCTGCGCCTTTTTTTTGCAGGACGCGCTGCTTTCGTGGGGGGAGAAAAAAAAGGCTTGCGCGGCCGTCCGGGCGAGGCTCAGCTGTTGATTCCCGTCTCCATAGAGATCTGAGTGACACAGCGGCTGACGGGCGGAGAGGGGGGGGAGGAGGAGGAGGAGGCTAGGGTGGAGGCAGAGCAGAACAGCAAGGGGGCGGGGCGGGGAGGGCGAGGCCCCGCCCCTCCGCTTTGCCAAAGACCCCGGGCTCCGGGCAGCGGTTGTGCCAGTGCAAGGCGGGGCAAAGGGGGGGGGAGGCGGTGTGTCGGAAAAGCCCCCAGAGGGAGGAATCTGGGAAGGAAGGAAGGGGCGCAGGCAGCGGGAGAGGTCCGTCTAGGCGACCTCGCATCCCCCTCCCCTCCCCCAACACACACACCCAGACACGGTTTGGCCCGTTGAACCTTGGATCCGAGGCTCTGGGCAGGGGCCTTTAATTCCTGCAGGCTTGGCAGAGGCTTTGCAATCAAAGGTCCCTTCCAACTCTGTTCTGTTCTGTTCTGTTCTGTTCTGTTCTGTTCCGTTCCATTCTATTCTCTATTCTATTCTTCTCTACTGTGCTCTACTTTATGATTTTTCTTTTCTTTTTTTCTTTTCTTTTCTTTTCTTTTCTTTTCTATTCCATTCTATATTCTATTCTACTCTGCTCTATGATTATTCTATTCTATTCTATTCTATTCTATTCTATTCTACTCTATGATTATTCTATTCTATTCTATTCTATATTCTATTCTATTCTACTCTACTCTATGATTATTCTATTCTATTCTTTTCTATTCTATTCTATTCTATTTTATTCTATTCTATTCTATTCTATATTCTATTCTACTCTACTCTATGATTATTCCTTTCTATTCTTTTCTATTCTATTCTATTCTATTCTATATTCTATCCTACTCTACTCTATGATTATTCTATTCTATTCTATTCTATTCTATTCTATTCTATTCTATATTCTATTCTACTCTACTCTATGATTATTCTATTCTTTTCTATTCTATTCTATTCTATATTCTATTCTATTCTACTCTACTCTATCATTATTCTATTCTTTTCTATTCTATTCTATATTCCATTCTATTCTACTCTACTCTACTCTATGATTATTCTATTCTTTTCTTTTCTATTCTATTCTATTTTATTCTATTCTATTCTATTCTATTCTATATTCTATTCTACTCTACTCTATGATTATTCTTTTCTATTCTATTCTGTTCTATTCTATATTCTATTCTATTCTATTCTACTCTATGATTATTCTATTCTATTCTATTCTATTCTAGAATGGCTGGAGAATTCTGGGAGTTGAAGTCCACAAGTCTTAAAGCTGCCAAGTTTGAAGACCTCTGAGGTAAAACATTGGGGCTGGTGTTCCATGTTGGGAAAGATGGAACGCGAAAGGAGAAGGGGACAGCAGAGGGTGAGATGATTAGTGTCACGGGTGCAACCAACATGAGTTTAGGCAAAGTCGGGGAGACAGTAGAGGACAGGGGGTGCCTGGCGGGCTATGTGGTCATGAAGAGTTGGGCACAACTTAGCGACTGAACAACAACAACAAAATCATGCTAAGCCATTTTGTTGTTGTTAGTTGCGAAGTCGCGTCACGACCCCATGGACAACCTTCCTCCAGGCCTTCCTGTCCTCTACCATCTTCTGGAGTCCATTTAAACTCACGCCAACTGCTTCAGTGACTCCATCCAGCCACCTCGTTCTCTGCCGTCCCCTTCTTCTTTTGCCCTCAGTCTTTCCCAGCATTAGGCTCTTCTCCATCGAGTCCTTCCTTCTCATTAGGTGGCCAAAGTCTTTGAGTTTCATCTTCAGGATCTGGCCTTCTGAAGAACAGTCAGGGTTGATCTCCTCTAGGACTGACCGGTTTGATCGCCTTGCAGTCCAAGGGACTCGCAGGAGTCTTCTCCAGCACCAGAGTTCAAAGGCCTCAATTCTTTGGCGCTCAGCCTTCCTTATGGTCCAACTTTCACAGCCATATATTGCAACTGGGAAAACCATAGCCTTGACTATACACACTTTTGTTGGCAGGGTGATGTCTCTGCTTTTTAGAATGCTGTCAAGATTTGGCATAGCTTTCCTCCCCAGGAGCAAGTGTCTTTTAATTTCTTGGCTGCAGTCCCCATCTGCGGTGATCTTGGAGCCCAGGAAAATAAAATCTCTCACTACCTCCATTTCTTCCCCATCTATTTGCCAGGAATTGAGAGGGCCCGATGTCATGATCTTAGTTTTCTTAATGGCTAAGCCATGACAAATGCTAAACAAGATGAAAGCTAGAATACTAGAATAGAATAGAGCTGGGAGGGACCTTAGAGGTCTTCTAGTCCAGCCCTCTACTCAAGCAAGAGAACCTATACTATTTCAGATAAGTGGCTGTCTAGTTTCTTCTTAAAAGCCTCCAGTGATGGAGTGCCAGTGATTCCTGAAGGCTCCGGTTAATTGTCCTCACTGTTAGGAAGTTTCTCCTTAATTCCAGGTTGCATCTCTAGCCACGCTCAACCAGAGTTCTGCGATTGGGCTTCAACTGATCATGCGGAAAGGCTGTGCATTGCCAACATTAAAATCCCGTGGCTTTGCCTGCTCGTGCTCACCCACATGCGCGCAAAGGGGCAAAGATAAATCAATGGCAAGAGCTTCATGCGTGTAATCTCGAAATGAATAAGGGAAGCTATCTGGAGGCTACAATTATTTCTCCACTTCTGCTTCAAAAGAGGACTAGCATTACTGGGTGAAATCGGCAGGCTTTTGTTCAAACTTCAGGAAAACCTTCCTAAACAGCTAAGAAGGAAGGCGAATCTTTTCCACTGGGATGGGATCAGTGGTGAAATGTAAAATTTGTTACTGCCGGTTCTGTGGGCGTGGCTTGGAGGTGGGGGTAATGTGACTGAGTGGGCGTGGCCAACTTTTTTTTTTTTTTTACTTTTAAAATCATTTTTTCTACAATCTCTTCGGCAGAAGAGGTTGTAAAAAAAAAATGCTTTTAAAAGCCTCTGACGATCAGGCAACTCAGCTGGGATCGTCAAGAGGCTTTTAAAAGCATTTTTTTTACAACCTCTTTGGCCGAAGAGGTTGTAGAAAAAAAATGCTTTTAAAAGCCTCTGACGATCCCAGCTGAGCAGCACGATCATCAGAGGCTTTTTCTTTTTTTACTTTTAAAAGTTATTTTTTTTTTTTTGGCCGAAGAGGTTGTAGAAAAAATGCTTTTAAAAATTAAAAAAAAAAGCCTCTGATGATTGCGCGGCTCAGCTGGGCATGGGGATGGGCAGGGATGTTTGCTACCGGTTCTCCGAACCACCCGCCTCCATCGCTACCGCATCGGGCGATCCGGTCCGAACTGGGAACATTTCACCCCTGGATGGGATGGAGTAAAGACAGAGCAGCCCTTTGCTGAATAGACAAGAGATTATCTTCTATAAAACTACACTGAATGGGATGATTGGATTAGAGAACCTCTAAGGCACACACCCCATGCAGAGTTAAACAAAGATGTATCCTGCAAAGGAATAAATAAATGTGATATGTTGCAAAAGGCGTGGAGGGTGCATTTATGAAGGGAGACAAACAAAGCTAGCCAGCCTCAGCAGCTGACCCTCCTGGGACGCATTAATGCTTGTAACTGATAGCTGGAGGAAGGAAAAGACATGCTAGGCAACATTCAGTAATATAAATATATATGTACTTTTAGTGCTGGAAGCAGGAATGTCTCCACCCACCATCCGGATATCTGCCTTTACCTTCCAAATACATTCCTGACCCATTATAAATACAACAGAGACGCTGCATCTAGCAAAGCATTAAGACTGATCGATTACATTTCTATCCTGCCGCAGTTGATCAATTCTTAGTGATTTACATTAAAAACATGAGAATAAACACTCAAGACGAGGAGACGCCTTAACATTACAAACAGAAGCCGCTTCTATGACATCGCCAGATTCGTTGGCCAGCTAGGCTATTTTTATTTACCGGAACATCAACGCTTTTAAATTCTTGATTGAGGCTATTTTCAATTTAAAAAAAAAAATCAAAGAAATATAAAGTGATATCGGCATCTGAGCTATTTCTCTGCCATAAATTACAAAAACTAAGAACATTCCCAAATATTAGACTTCAAAATAAAGTATTATGGGAGTGACAAATTTTAGATGGAAATGTTGATCGATTTAGAAATGATTAAGAAAGGAGGAAAATATTCTTTGTCAAGATTATGGATACTAGCTGCCATTTAAGAGAGGTGCAATATAGATTCAATGTAATGGGTCTTAGAAATGAGGAATATATATAAAATATTGATTGTTAAAATGACAAAGATTTGGAATGATGTCTATTTGGAAATAATTGTCTAGAATTTAGGGTGACATAGAATGATAAATGTTTAGAATAAGATTTCTTTTCTCTTCTTTTTTTAAGATGTAAATGGATAAAATTTCAAACAAAATTGATTGAGGGAATGTGAGTAATTGTATTTACTTTATACCGGATCAAATCCTTGCTCTAAAAAGGTGTATTTTATGTTTTGTTTTAAAAAATAAAAAAACTTTTCCAAAAAAAAAAAAAACTAAGAACATTCCCATATAACGTGGGAATGTATAAGAAGAATATGTATAACAAGGCAGTAAAATGTAACTAATTACATTGTTCTAATAACGCGTTCGTCCTAATTATATTACAAATGAAAGATGACGGCTAATAGACTTCCTTTCATGTGCACATTTTGGAGTGCAAATTGCTTTGCAAACTTCCGGGAGGCAGTTGGCATCTTAAGCGAATTCCAGTTTGCATACAAATTCAAGAATTGCTCATGGAATAAGTTTGGGAAAGATATTACAAAATCTCCATTCCCACCCCTTTCTGGGGGGAAGGTTACTGCAAAATCCCCATTCCCTCCTCACTCCTGGGGGAAAGATATTGCAAAATCTCCATTCCCACCCCACTCTGGAGCCAGCCAGAAGTGGTATTTACCGGTTCTCCGAACTGCTCAAAATTTCCGCTACCGGTTCTCCAGAACCTGTCAGAACCTGCTGGATTTCATCCCCGGTGCTCCATCACAGGAAGCTTTTAAGAAGAGATTGGACAACTATTTGTCTGAAATGGTATAGGGTCTCCTGCTTGAGCAGAGCAGTGGTCCCCAACCTTTTTATCGCCGCGGCCCGCTGAGCGCGCGCAGGGGTGGGGGCACGGCCCAGGAGCTTTTGCGCACGGCCCATTGCGCACGGCCCAGGAGCTTTTGCGCACGGCCCAGGAGCCTTTGCGCTGCAGCATTCATGTCCCCCGGCCGCTGCGCGGCCCGGTGCCAGGTACTCCGCGGCCCGGCACTGGTCCGCGGACCGGGGGTTGGGGACCACTGGAGCAGAGGGTTGGACTAGAAGTCCTTAACATGAACCAGCCACTTAACACGAATGTTAAGAATATTGTTGTTGTGTTACCAACCAGCAGAGTGTAGAGCACAGAGAAACGTTGCTGAGAGCAATGGATAAGAGATGTGCAAACTGGTTTATCAAAAGTTTACTTTATAGTGAAAAAACAATCTCATAGTCTTTAAATCAATCCTTTGCCAGTTAAATCAGTCCAGTGATACAAAAATCTTCTTACCACACAAACAGTAGTTGGTTAGAATAACAAACTCACTCTGGTTCACAAACCACGATGGTAGCAGATCCATCCAACCGATGATAGCACAATGGTTGCAACTCCACACACAATGGTAGTTTATCATCAACTGAATATATTACAGTACCTTTCTTAAATACGTTCACAACTAATTACAGCATGACTCAGCATTACAATGAATCAGCAGGAAAACTTTAAAGTCACACAATACATATTCATATTAAAGTCACAGAACACATATATTGTCCGGACAACTTGTTAGGCTCAAACCATATCCTAACAACGAGCCACTTAAACATGAGCCAGCAGTGTGCGGCGGCAGCCACAAAAGCTAATACAATCCTTGGTTGTATAAACAGAGGCATAGAATCAAGATCACGTGAAGTATTAGTACCACTTTATAAAGACTTAATAAGACCACACTTGGAATCCTACATCCAGATTTGGTCATTACATTACAAAAAAAAAGATGTTGAAACTTTGGGGAAAATGCACAGAAGAGTAACTAAGATGATTAAAGGCCTGGAGACATAAACATATGAAGAACGATTGCAGGAATTGGGGTCTAGCCAGTCTAGGGAAAAGAAGGATTGGGGTGACATGATAGCAGTGTTCCAGTATTTGAGGGGCTGCCACAAAGAAGAGGGGGTCAACTTATTTTTTAAAGCACCAGAAGGCAAGACAAGAGACAACAGATGGAAAAAAAAATCAAGGAGAGAAGCGACCTGGAATTAA